TCTCTCTCTCTCTCTCTCTCTCGTCTCTCTCTCTCGTCTCTCTCTCTCTCTCTCTTCTCCTCTCTCTCTCTCTCTCTCTCTTCTTCTCTCTCTCTCTCTCTCTCTCTCTCTCTCTCTCTCTTATATATATATATATATATATATATATATATTTATATATATATATGCCCAGCGAACCGTGCGTGTGTGCGTGTGAGCGTGTGAGCGTGCGTGCGTGCGCGCGAGCGTGCATGCATGCGCGAGTGTTTGTATGCGAGCGAGCGTGCGTGCGTGTATGCGTGCTAATATTGAAGCTATGCGTAGCTGAGATGTGTTTTGATGTTGTGATCTAAAAAGCTTGCGCTTCAGCAGCCCTGCTGGCATGGTACCCTATATGCATGGCACCCAGATTGAAATATAAACTATCATCGAGAAATCAAGATATTTTGCGACAGGCGCGCCGTGTTTTTTCTGATTAAGACCGCGAGCAGAAATTGATCTAGGATTAAGCGATTGAAATCTTCTTGCAGCAGCATCTCGGAAACAGATGTAAATGTACGCTTCTTCTCATTGTTGACTTTATATCTAAATAACATCGAGTGATAAGCTCGCCGAACACGAGGGGTAGTAGCGGTGGATCTGCGTGCCGTAGAGACGGTCCATGCATCCGCTACACACGCAGGGTAGTAGCGGTGGATCTGCGTCCCATAGAGACGGTCCATGCCTCCGCTACACACGCGGGGGTAGTAGCGGTGAATCTGCGTCCCGTAGAGACGGTCCATACCTCCGCTACACACGCGGAGGTAGTAGCGGTGGATCTGCGTCCCATAGAGACGGTCCATGCCTCCGCTACACACGCAGGGTAGTAAAGCGTCTGCTTCACACGCATCTCATGTTAAACGTCTATTTTTTTTTAATTCTAAAATTCTAATTTACAACTCGTTAAATATTTATCAGGATACGTATAGCAAGGCACATATATTGAAGGCTTAGTGCAATCGTCTCCTCTTTTCTATAAACTGTCACGCACGACTATTACATAGCCTTCAGCCTTCTACTGCTTTACAAAATTGACTTAACTTCATCTCCCATCCTATCCCAGTTACAGATTCAAAGTCACATCTACTTTATATATGTATATTGTAATGCCTGTATTAAATAGCTGAGTCGATGTAGATGTGACTCGGATGTGATCGGTGACTCGGATATAGATATATATAGCTTACCTATACCTTGTGATTTCGTCGATGCGTTGCTCGCTCTTGGAGGCGCTCTAGTGTTAGTGACAGTGTAGTCCGTATTCGGATGAGTATATCGCTCCGTGCCGTCGGTAAATTAATCAGGGGACACGCTTCTAGCGGAAAGGACGTCGTACGTACGTACGTCCTAGGAAGCACGCGGTTGACCAGGCGTGTGAACTACTAGAGTCAGTCCGCGGAGACGATTGGAGGTTTCAAAATATTGTCTGTAAGGTGACAGGTTCGACGGTAGGTGTGTACAATTACGGGTGTTTCATATAATAGGCCAGGGCGCCAGTATGTACGCACGCGCGCACAGCCAAAGGCACGCACTCACCGCCAAAGGCACGCACGCACAGCCAAAGGCACGCACGCACAGCCAAAGGTACGCACCCGCAGCCAAAGGCACGCACGCGCACGAAATGCACCCGTGTGAAAAAATAAGACAAGAAGACACATTATCTTCGTACAATGAGGTACAGATTCTTTATGATTCTCGCAATGAAAGGTGTACAAATTCTCACATGATTTACCGCTTTATTTCGGATGAGAATGGTACGAAATGTCAACGCTTTTATAGCAGCTGGCGATTTCAAATTACAGCATGTAAGAGGGCTGACGTATAGCTCATGACGGTGATGCCAACTCTGGTTACGAGTAAGATCATACAGGGCAATACTGCCTGTCAAAAAACAGGCATGCTGATCGGTCGTTATTGTGTGCGTGCGTGCGTGCGGCCGTGTGTTAGGGGCATGTATGTGTAGTTCATTCTGTTCTTGGTCTTCACTTTACGCCTTATTCGATAACAGCAAACTGTCATTCAATTGGTTCGCGACGAAACAGAAACTAAAGACCTTTTTGGGCCAAAACGAGAAATTCCAGCGATTAAATGGGGAAAGGAAGATGAATGTACATAATTTCCAATAAACACGGGTAACAACGATGCTGATTTCAAAACATCTGAAAAACACAATCGTTCCGTATTGTATTAAATTTATTTACAAGTAAATGTCCGTCACTAACAAAAAGTATCTACAAACTACTATCTGTATTGTAAAAGTCGTATATACAAGAAAAAGTATAGTAGTTCATCGTGCCCACGATGCAGGAGCGATTAGATTTTGGGGTACGTGATCTGGTAAGACACTATGACCTGGTTGAAGCTCGCTACTGCCGTTAAACTATAGGCCGGCATCTCCTGCGGGGGGGGAGCAGGTCAAAATTTCCCTATCTAGTTTCCTGTGAGTTAGCTCACATCTAGCCACGTATAACTAGGGATGGGCTATGTACAGCCACGGTAGCAGAGCCACAGTGACTTAATTAGCCGTGGTGAAGCCGGCAGCAGTATGCAGAGCTCGCCATCTCATGAACACACAACCAGCTCACGTAGAACGAGCGCTTGCGGACACGGGGGGATGAGGGGAGTCACGCCCTCAACCTATCCCAGAATACATGCGGGCTGTGGCGAGTCGGGTCGTAGCTGTAGGCGACACCAACTCTTTTTCTCCTCTTATTATTGTTTTCACGATAAGTAGTCGCAAATCGGAGGGGGTGACAGGATTGCAAGCAGAAAGGCCAAGTAGATGTGCGGCTGCACGGAGGCTTGTATGTAGAATACATTCAGACACCTCCCGCTCGCTGGCCAGCCCTCGGCTCTCACCACAGGTGGGGCGGGTGAAAGTAAAACGAAGATGAGACTGGGAGGAATCACACGGGAGATTATAGCGTAGAAATATGTAGAAGGCAAAATAGAAGCTTAAAATTGCGGAAAAGTTAAAACACGGTAAAAAAGCACGTGCAACCGAGTATTTTTCTACAACAAGCTACCGAGCCAACTGAAAATCGGCTTATCTAAAATGATTAACGAGATATTAGCCAATTAAAATTCTTTTAAACATTATTTTTATTAAAACAGGCACTTCAATAGTAAACTGCACACCGAGCATATAATACAATACTATAAATGCCAATAACAAAGACGAATAAGGAATTTCTTTGCGCGATTAAAGAAGCACGTTAAACGTACACTCAAAGTATTCTAGAGTTAGTCTAGATGGCCCACAGGTTATATAGGAATTGACAGCTGACTAGAACCAAAAAATACGATGGCTGTTATTCTGTGACCTGAGACAATTGACAGACAAGTGGATATTATCGGGCAGTTATCGAATACTAGGACCGTTATGATAACATATGTCAATACCATAGCTTTGTAAGAAAGGTTGGGACTATTTTCTTTAGATATCCTGTGGAAGCGGAATGATGTATATATACTAAAACACAATAGGATTAAGTTTCTAAGTATTTAAAAAACTATACTAGTAACTATGAAACATGTCATAGAAATAAGTTAACGAGTATTACCATCGGCTGGCTTTGCAGGGTTACAGTGTAGACTCAACCACGGAGATAGAAAGCAAGTTGTTCAAAAGGCTGGTTAAAACTTACAAAGAATGAGTCCGATTAAAGGCACCAAGTCGGTGTAAAGAACTTACAAAATTGCGGATTGTGGCAGTTGTTGGTAAACACAAATCATGAACGCAAGAAAACGGAACGATTAAGAACGCAACCGCGGTTCCATTTAGCCCCGGCCCGAAATGATATCGCATACCGAAAAAACGCGCAAAATGGCGAATTCTACACCTCGTGTTGACGGATGATAAATTAAGGCGTTAGTACACTGAGCTGGCTGCACTGCGGCCGCTGCCAGACTGCGCGGCGCCTCTATCTCTCGACTCGAGCCATATAACTCACGTAAGACTCGTGCAAAATCAACATCAGCGTGCGTCGCTTCATAACCGCGAAACGTTCGGCGTTGTGCTGTGTACCCGGGCCGGCACTACCTGTGCCCATACCGAACCGTCGGCGTGCCGAGAAACGAAAAGTGGCGCAGCGTTATCACGCGCGTATCGTCCGTCTGTCTGCCAGAACACGCACACACGGCCGTCGCTCGCCCGACGCTTCACCCTCAAAGGCACTGACAGTTGGGGGGGGAGTCGCCCTGACCCGGGGTCGAGTGAGTGGGAGAGTAAGGCCGTGGCGCTCGTGATTCGCACGTCCGCACCGCGCACAAGTGATCCTAGTAGTCCATCCCACGTAATCACTGCCACCGGAGAGTCGCTGCTGGTCCCACCTCTCTCTGCCTCTGTCTCTCTCGCCCTCTTCTCTACTAGCTTCTCCGGGCGTAGCATTCCTCCGGCGATTCCCCACAAGCCAGAAACCTGGCCTTCTAATCGCATGCCTGATTTCTTTCTCTCTCTATGGGGGGGACACGGTCTAGATGTATCCGGCGCCTCCGCAGCTGTTCGGGCGCAACAAGAGAAACACGGCTTCTTTCTGCTGTCTCTCTTTAGTTCGACGGGTGAGACATCTTAGGAGGTAATCCGGGTGTCTACCACCAGGGGAAACCTAAGGCCTTCTCTCTCAGGTTGAAGGCGGGAGAGACACCTTAGAGGTATCTCCACGCATTCACCACCAAGGAGAACCTCACCAGCCGCAGCTATCTCTCCCCTCATCGCTGCGCCCCCCCCCCGATATCACCTCCTTCCGCCCATGGGACCGTCCGTCAAAATCGCCTGCCACATGGGTTGTTGGAGCAATCAAGGTACGAAATCATCACCGGTGAAGTATCGTTCTTTACGCGTCGCATTCGAGACGCGGTCATGATGGTCTCTCTCCTATGCATGCCGCTGCTGTGGCTGTCCAAGCTGACGTTGTCGCTGTCCTGACTCTGTGGACTCGAGTAGTTGGCTGCCTCCTGCAGTCTCATCAGCATGTTAAGCTGCAGGCCAACGAGAATAAGATTGATTAGCAGGATTCGAAATCAAGGCTACGCTAGTACTTGCTGACAAGAAATTTCTTATGAACCACATAGTAAAGCACCACAGATTCTGCCTGGCTGAGTATATTTTCTACCTTCCCGTTTCTTGGTGAATATACCTAATCACAGTAGACACAGTCACAATGATATTAGACACAGCCACATGACAGTGCCTCGTCGATAACGAACATATGGCAGCAGGCTATTAACCAAACAAACACAGTCAGAATAGGTCGTATACACGAAACAATATTTAGAATTTCTGTACGTTACTTTTTTACACTGTCGTTTCTGGTGTCGTGTTTTTAATTAATGTGTTTCACTAATTATAGAGAAAACTATACCAGGCTTGCAACGCATGTAAGAATTTGCCTGATTACATGTAAAACTGAGGGGCATTGCCGTGAATGGGCACATAGCTTCTGTTGCGAGTGAAGCTATTTTGTGCAACGTATCGACGTTGTTGTGTCTGTCAATTGAAAATGTGCAAATTGTCTCTAATTCGGTACCCCCACGCACCCGCCCCCACCCCCATTAATAAACAACATTCCTTCTGAACATTCTGGGGGAAAACCTGTAAATGTGTTATGATGTGAAATGCTAGGAGCGTGCTTAATTCAAGATACACGCTAGTAAGTCAAACAGCGTGCGGGTCACGAATGTACCAGAGTCGCAAATGCAAGCGCGTGCGCGTACCAGAGGATCACTATCCACCACGTCTGCGGCCATGGAGTTGTTGGTCGCTGGCTTGCTGGCTCCCACCGCCTGTATCTGGCCCTCGTGTCCTACATCCTCCGGTCTGAGCCTCAGCAGGCTCGGCCAGTCGGGCTCCTGTCTGAGGTTGGTCCACGGGTAGGTCTCCAGCACCCACTCTGTAGGGTCTTCCCAGATCACACGCCTTCCGTACAGCTGCAACGTACGCAACGAAGGCAGGTGTTAATTATACACGCCCGTCTGTGGGACCGTAAGTTATCAGCTCCTGCCCTACATTGTTTGATGCGGGCATGCAATGTGCGAAGTAACGTAGGTATATCGTACATACGTGGCATGGTATCAACCAATGGGGAAGGGGGAGTTCTAGTAGGTAAACTTTGTACATGATCATCATGGTGTGCATGTGGTTCATCAATCAATCAA